ACGATCATATAACGCGAAGGAGCTTGGGACTAAACACACGGTCTTCTGCTCAGTAAGCAAAAACGTTTGCCACTAGGCAGACGAGCACCTTTTTAATCACTGAGTTGCTGTTATTACCATGTAGTCATATTAACAAATAAAACGATTGACGAATCTTGAATGTGGATGGGCCTGAGATTAGACTCATGATGTTCTGCTCAGTAAGCAAAAACGGTTGCTCTAAGGCCACCGAGCCCCTCATATCACATAATACCGTTGCTCAAATTTGTGTATCCATTCAAACCCGGAACCAACGACAACAACGAGTTTCGCAAAACACACGATACACAAGCGATTTTACCATAAATCTCTTTGATATGTAAGGACCTGGGACCGCGTTTTTCTGATGAGTAAGCAGGCCACTGTAACCGACGATCTTTCAAATCCGAAAACTAAAAACTACGAAAAAGTACTTAGGCCTTCATTAAGTTCCACTTTCACGCGACGTTCAATGACAGGGTCCTATCCAGGATTACATCTGAAAAATCCAAATCTGGCCAACGACCTCCTAAACCTGTTCTAATCCACCTGAAATGACTAACGAATGGAAGACTTTAGCTACCCAGCCATGCAATAGTCTCATTCCGTGCCTTATGGCAACTTGATGATTCTATTGCGCTCATCTTTTGGCACCACCCAGGGGAGACTTGGTCCTGTACCCAATGCTTAACTTATCTCCATTCCACTCAGCTACTCGCAATTTCTTGTGATATAGTGGGCGGAATATTATTATATGAGACAATTCAATGCAGACGTCTTTCCAAATTTGGCAGATCGACAGGTAATCGGTGAGTTACCACGATAGTTGCTGTTCAACAACTCGACAACGTCCCATCGTCAACGCCTGCTATGATAATTTCCCATTGCAGACGCCAACGAAATGATGTCATCGAGCTATCGATCAACTAACCTGGTTATCGCCTGGTACCTTACAGCACGATGCTAGGAGGCGAACCGGAAGAATCGATGAGCTACCTCTCCCCCTGAAACTACTGGCGGTTCCGATTGCGTTTATTAATACCGCAGTTCAGATTGGCTTCGTTACCTCCGGTGTGGTTACCTTTACAATTCTGCAAGCAGAATCCTTCTTAATGTTGCTAATACGGGATCCACTAACTCCACCAGCTTCCACAGTCAAACTAAACTGCGAGATGGTTCAGTCCATATAATGAGCTGTATGGCTGACTGATTGGTGGACCATCAATCGTACCGAGTGGTCATCCGGTAAAAATTGATGCGGTTGCAGACGAATTTACCGAAGGGCCGGACCGTTCAGCACCGGTTTCTTGTTGACACCACAAATTAATGCTGCAATTGGAACTGGATTGTGCAATTCTCTTTACCTTTACAATTTGCATTCTGTCTGGCCATCTGGGGTAAGCAGGCCTCTTCTACGTGGCTCTGACTCTGACTAATTTGTTTGGGTTTCCCTCAGAACATAAATACTTTCGAAACTATGGACATCTGTCAAATACCCTGTAGACTTTCGCTAGAGGTCCATACCTAGGGCACGGAGAATCTCGTCAATTGTGTAATCTTTTATTATGATTTGGGATAACCTTGCTATTTTTTTCGACAAAAAAATTTAAACTGAAAAAGAAGTAAGCAAAGTAGATAACCTTAGCAACGCTTGGCAAAATGTCAACACAAAGCAGTGATGATCAGGCATGGCAAATCATCTACATTCATTTCGTGCATTCATTTACATTCATTTGCCTCTAACTTTTTCCATCAACATAATTCCGTTAAATGATGTATGAAACTTTTGTAGGTTTTGATATTAACTGCAACTTTTGTAAATAACTCAAATCTGTACCTCTTATGCATGTCGAACTAGAGCGGGCAGAACTTGTTACTATTTTTCAGTGAATGTAATTTACATTCACTGAAAAACATAGATAAGTTTTGTTCGCTCCAGTTCATCATGCATAAGATATACAGATTTGAGTTATTTGAAAAAGTTGTAGCTAATATCAAAACCTACAAAAGCTTCATACATCATTTCATGGAATTCTGTTGATGAAAAAAGTTAGAGGCAAATAAATGTAAATGAATGCACGAAATGAATGTAAATGATTTGCCATGCCTGGTGATGATGTTTTATATCGTATTCTGTGTCATACTTGTCGTCGTGTTCCCTAACGTGCCGATCAGTGTGCTGCGATGTGCTTCGGCACAGTGTGCAGAGTTGATTAGCCCTTGATCTTCAAGAAATTGTTAGCAAACCGCCCCCCCCCCTCCTTCCCTCCTGTTTGAAAACCTGGCTACGCCTTTGGCATAGTCCAGTTCTCGTGACTCAAGACTACTGGTCTAATCAGCGTCTTGTATAGATAGTCAACTTCGTGGTGCGGTGAACTTTATTCGACCGGAGCATCCTTCGAATTCCAAAGTTATCACGATTTATTTTCGAGAAACATTTCCTTTCAATCTCCTTCCCGAGTTCAATTACCAACATCCCGCCGCAATTCATTGTATAATTCTGCGCTCGCATCGCGCAAGTGCATTTCCGTTCCGCTGATTTCGGCTCATTCTCTCCCGCTCCATATGCACGCCAGAGTAGTTATACGTAGAGAAGCGAGATGCATCTCGCCGTCGTCGTCATCATTACCATCATCATATATGAGTATAGACGGTACACCGAGTCATAACAATGTGCATCAACTGCAGTTCGAAATAGATGCAATATGCCTCTTCGCGGTTCTTGAGTCCCGCCCTTCGTAGGGATGCGCCCATCTCACGAACACACCATAGGTGCTTTTCTGCTCTTCCGGGACTGACATTTTCCCACTAGACCGTCGCCCGAAGGGACGGCACTTTCCTGATGTCCTATTACCATCCAACTAAACGTCCTTCAATCTGGTGAACTCACAAAAGGCCGGCCGCAATATTTTGACACACAGTTGCAGAAATTAAAATTTGTTAATTTAGTAAAAATAACGCGAAAAACTGCACCCACGCCGGGACAAATAATAATTTACAATTATTTATGAGATGCGAAATTTATAGCAAATTTTAACACAATCAAAAATGCTCCCCGACGGTCAGGATCGCGTGGAGGTTGTTATGTCGTTATGGTTGGTGTCACACACTTCGCGAAAATGGTGCGTTCCACGTGTGCGGGTGGTCGGTCGCGCCTACTACGATTATGCAATTCACCGGTCGCACACTGCGATCCTGCTAATTTATCTTGGTGCGAAGACAATTTACATCATTATCGATGCTTGACCTGTCACATTTGAAGGAGTGAGAAAGCTAATTTCGAACGAACGGACCACATATTCTCAAATCGGTTTAATAGCGTACTTAATTATTTCCATCCCATCATTCATGCGTATGAGGAAGGACATGGGTGGTCGCGAGGAAACGTGCGACTAGAGAAGGAAATCCGTCCAACATCCACATAGTGGGATTGTGGCGACGTAAATGGGGATCGATGACGGGCGAAAAAAATTAAGTCAATTGGAAATTAAGATAATGGCAATCAACAAATTATTTTAATAAGACAATGCAGCGACGCACCCGAACGCCTCATTAATTTCGTCAACTAACGGGCGCCGATAATTAGCCAGGAGGTCGTCGTGTCAAGTTGCAACACAAATTGCAACGTCGGCTATCGATGTTGTGTCCTTTCGCGTGCGATACGCGCTAAAATTGCACATGCATAAACATATGTATGTGCATCCCAATCATGCATTCGCGAGAGCAGCAAGTGTACACAATTCATTAAATTGGGATCCAAACAAAGGGGGGTGGGGTTCGGCGGGTGGATGCAACCGCACTTGGTATAATTACCTCCTGAATCGATGCAATTTCAGTGACATGCGTAGCAGAGTTGCGAATCGTTGTTGTTGCTGTTAGTGAGTGTACAGCGGGTTATATGGATTGTTGGCTGTATTCCGCGAGGTGAGGGAGAGCAGAATCTCATGCCTCGATACAACTTAATTTCTCTTTCCTACATGCTACTGGATCATGATGATGAGCAAGGTGTTTTTCGTAAAAATTTTCACAGATCTCAGAAATGACAAGGTACATTCATTTGTTTCTTTTTAATTGGTATGGCTCAATGTAAAAAAAAAAACTTTGCGGAGCCGAAAGAGTTGCCCGCAATTTTTTTCATTAGCAGTACCAGCCTTTCGGCCTCTTGTTGGTTCATTTCCTTTTCCGACCTCTCCGTCCATTTAACATTGACCTTGACATGACATCTGCTTACGAGAAACAAAAAACGAACAACTAGGTGCTGTCGTTATGTGGACCGTACACGATTGCTTTTATTGACAATAATCGTATTGTCAATACATTTTATATTGACGTCAATACATCGGTATTGACAATATTTCTGTATTCACATCATCAATATTATTGTCAATACTTGTAAGTATTGACAATATTTCTTACCGTGTGGGGTTCGCTTTACAAAAGAGTCATGCACAGCTCATGCACTGATTTGCTTTGTTTACCAACTTGACACCGAGAAGTGGCAACCGAGGGGTAACTACGATGTGATTTCGCCAGAGCTAGGTTCTTAGGACTTCAGGGAACTTCGTATCAGTTTTTCAGAGATCTTACTCTTTCTGAACTTCCTGGATCATGGATCTTAAGCTTTCTGAACTTCCTTCAAGACTCTGCCCAATATGCCTGCGTCACTGTTAGGCCATAGATGTATGACAGCCAGCGCTAGAAATTCTTTGTGATAACAACTGTATCAGTAATACCGGTAAAGGTATGCTGGGAAAATTCCAAAAATATTCGTTTTCTATCGCGTGACAAGGCACACACCAAATACATACCTAAACGCACATATTTCTTATCCACCATGATAAGGGATTGCTCAAATGTTTGGTTTTCCCATACCGGGGCTAGAAGATTAACTTTCTTTGCGTGTCAGCAGAAGCGCCATTGACGTCCACAGGCCCCCTCCGCAGATTTCGGCGTGATTAGATTAGGTCAAAGTCGTATTGTCATAAATCAGTTGAAACTTATTTCAGTAGCGTCATGTTTATTGATTGCTCTCGGGTATGGTATTTAGGCGTACGCTCGAAGATCGGCCAGCAATTCGTCGTACAGCAGCGGGCGCACGTTGATGGCCCAGACGAAGTCCATGTGATTGAACTGCGGTTGTGATACCAGGTACTGCTTGTGGATATTTGGCAACTCCCGCCGAAGTAGCTCGACATCTTCCGGACCTGCCAGCCAATCGTTGGTGCTGTGGTAGAGCAGCGTTGGAGCCTGGACGTTGTCAAAGTTGTAGCGTGGGGGAACCATCGATCCGTACCGGACCATGTTTATGGTTGGACCGTGGTCGTACTGTCGGAAGATCCGCGAGCGAACCGTCTGTGCGTGGTGAATCATCTGCATGGTAGATGCTCCGGCAGGCGAGTGAGCGTGGATGACTGGCAGCATTGTCTGTTCGTGGGCATATTTTGAGGTTAGGATTGAGTTTTAAAATGGAAAAAGTAAGGCAACTTACGAAGTTTACTTCCTGCGTGTTGAACCCGGCGATTAGGAAAGTGTTAATCGTGCACATTTGTTGGAACGGTGCCCCATCGTGGCAGTCGTTGAGTCCTCCAGCGATATCCATCTCATTAGTTGGTGCAAAGTACCAGGTTCCCATCATGTCCAGCATCAGCTCAGTAGTATGCAGGAAAGTGGCTAGGAAGATGACATAGGGGCTCCGGGTGTGGTGCATGTAAGCCGCTGGAGCCAGCATATGAGCGCTCTTGATTCGGCGGTTGTAGTATGGGTGCTGAGACATCATAACCCAGTAAGCGGTCGTTCCCTGCGAATGTCCTACGTATTGTATCTGCTGCTGTCCAGTTACGGCACCTATGTAGTCGATCATGTTGGGTATGTCGATACTGCCAACCTCGTGCCAGGAAAAGTCCCAGAACTGCTGGGTGGAGTTGTGTCTCGTTCGGTGACGATTGGAGTACCGGTTGCCACGGGCATTACCCAACCAAACATCAAATCCAGCATCGGCCAGCATGTAGACCAAGCTGGTTTGCGGTCCCATCAGGATGTAATCTGCAGATGAACTCAGCATTCCATGCTGCAGCAAGACTACGGGCTTTCCAGGTGCAGGCGGGGACATAGGGCTGCCCGGACAGCGGTGGATTCCCAACAGATAGCCATCGTCGGTCTCGATGATGTGCTCTTCGGCTGGATAACCATATTTTCGTAACAATCCAAGCTATTCGGGAGAAAGTTCATCAGTATTGGAATACCTACGTAGACAAAAGCACTGTGTAGTTGAACTTACCGAATCTAGATGCGCATCCTCTATTATATCCGGATGGATCTGCGCGTTGACGGCAAGCACTAGGGTGGCAAGAAACAAAACCAACTGTTTCATCATACGTGTACTACTCAAAATGACTGATAAACTGTCCCAAATTTCCAAACCGTAGCATTTTATATACTGACCTGCTTATCATGTTTCCTCCGGTGGACTTCCATGGGTGCGTGATTAGATTAAAAATGTCCCCCGCCAATCTGGCAGCCACCGCTTATCGTCTTTGTTTGTAAACCCGATTGGTAAATATGGATTTGGGAGTTGCAATGAACGTGAATAAAAAACTAGTATAATCCAGCCTCGAGTGAGTCAGCTAATTGGAGTTGATAAAGCTAGTGCATCAAGCCCACCTGGTCGATAAACTGTAATGTCGTGCCTACGGAAGTGCTCCACTATCAAGAGTGGAACTACTCAACGTCCACTAATCAGTTGATAAGCAAACCCAAGCAAACTATTTAAATCCGATTGGCGATGGGTGCATCACCTCAGTTACAAACCAAACGCCATGGAAGAGTTAGTCGCAGCCCTCATACTGACACTTATCGGTTTAACCTGCAGTGCTCCATCGCCCGAGATCACTCGAACGTTTCAAGTGGAAGATGCAGACGCCCGAATGACGGTCCCGCAGCTAATAGAAAAGTACAACTACACCATTGAAGTGCATCACACCACCACCGAAGATGGCTATGAGCTGGAACTGCATCGCATACCTGGGAAAGCTGGATCTCCGGTGGTCTTTCTCATGCATGGCTTACTGTGCAGCTCCGCCGATTGGGTAATCATTGGTCCAAACAACGGTCTAGCGTATCTGCTTGCCGATCAAGGGTTCGACGTTTGGCTTGGAAACGCCCGTGGCAACCGTTACTCCCGACAACACACCTCTCTCACACCGAACATGTTTGCCTTCTGGCAGTTTTCCTGGCACGAAATAGGCTACTACGATCTACCGGCCATGATCGACTACACCCTGAATCATACCAACCAAAGCAACCTGCACTACATAGGACATTCGCAAGGAACCACCGTATTTTTCGTGATGACGTCAACCAGACCGGAGTACAACGCCAAGATTCAATTGATGCAAGCCTTCGCTCCGGTAGCGTTCACCGAAAACGTCCGGAGTCCCCTACTGCAGGTTATGTCTCGGTTCCAGAACTCGCTGGTCGCACTGTTCGAAACGTTCGGAATCGGAGAGTTTCTACCGAATAACGCCATTTTGCACGAGATTGCCCGGTTGCTTTGCTCGAAGGATGTCGATCGGAATCTGTGTTTGAACGTGATCTTTCAGGTTGCCGGAGCTAATCCGGACCAGGTTGAGCTGGTGAGCTGACTCAATTGAGCTAGCTGCGCTTCGATCGATTAATTGTGTTTGTTTTCGTTTCAGCAAATCATACCGATTTTAATTGGGCATACTCCGGCCGGAGCGGCTACCAGACAGGTTACGCACTATGCTCAGGGGATGCGATCGCGGCAGTTTCAACGGTACGACCATGGCAAGATTAAGAACTTGGCAGTTTACGGTACGGCTCGTCCTCCGGTGTATAATGTGAGCGAAATCAGTGCACCGATTGTGCTTTACTACGGAGCGAATGATTTCCTGGCGGAGCCGGCCGATGTGTTGCGACTGGGTGGGATGATACGGAATTTGCACGCCTACCGGCAGGTGGAGCTGAACACGTTCAATCATTTGGACTTTCTTATAGCAAAGGATGTGAAGGGGTTGGTGTACGATGATGTAATCAAGAGGTTGCAATCGTGGGAGGATTGAAGGAAATACATTTTTTTTGTGTGAATTGAGCACTGAATCTCGATGCGGTCAGACACATTATGCAGTTCAAATTCGAATAATAGGGGTGGAAGGGGCATAATGAGCTTCCCAAACAATGACCAGCTTTCCCCCGAAGAACGCGTTACCCACTGAGTTCTACCAACCGCTTTGTCTCGGTGGGTTTTCAACCAAGCGCTCTGATTTTCTGCGAGTGACTAGTTCTCCATTGGCACTACTCACATGCAAACAAAATCAGACCGACTGGTTGAAACCCCGCCGAGAAAAAGCGGTGGGTGCAACTCAGTGGGTAACGCGTTCTTCGGGGGATAGCTGTACACGTTTTTTACTACACTTGCTCCGGTGTCGTGCTCTACCGTCGTCTCTCTCACACAACACAACCGGTAGAATAACATTGGAGCAAAATGAATATTATCAAATAACTATTATATGACATGTGTGATTTCGTTCTAATTCCTCAATTTGGTGTAGATTAAACCATTTTTGATACGAAATGTTATTACTAGTACATTGTTGCTTGCTATTATCAGAATTCACACAAGCAGAATATCAACAGCTCTTATTATGAGAAAAACTAAAATACATACATTCGTGATGATCTTCGGCGCCCGTGTTGTATGACAGAGCCTATCATATGACATTTTAGTTTGGTACTGTACTATGGTAGCTTGTTTTGCAAGTGTCGGAGGCAAAGGTAGTCGATTATCACAGAAAATGTGTCGACTACCGTGACCGTGACTGTTGCCTCCCCATAAAAATTAGAACGATAAAAAACAAAAACGCATCCAATATAAATTGTGCCAGAAAAAAGAGAAATAGCACTTTTACCCCAAGAAAATAGAAACTGTACCCATATAAATTAGCAATCGCTGAAAAACGAAAAAAAAAAATCGATTAAAAATGACAATTGTACCATAAATAAATGAAGTTGTGCTCATAAATACGTTGGTGACGTTTATCTAAAGGTTAGCATCGTTAACCGTTAATAATTAAGTAAATTAAACGCGTTAACGTTAAACTGTTAAGCTTTAGATGAATTCAATGGCGTTGACGATAATCATTAACCCTTTGAGCATTAATAATCATAATCATTAACCCAAATAACGAAAAATAATGAATTTATGAATCGACCTTCTCCGATTTATATGAAACTTTGCGTATTTGTTTGTTATGGGCTATGATTCACATTTTTGCAAAAATTCAACCATTTTGAATCTTGTAAAATTTTCAAAATGCCGTTCTTGAAGGTTTTCAAAAAATTGTTCAATGGAAATGGCTTTTCAGATCAAAATGATGTCCGAAACAAAGTTCTAGAGAATAATGTTCGGTAAAATAAACAAAACCGGTATTTTATGTATTTCAAGCACAATAAAAAATGAAGCTTCATTTTTTTTAAATGTTCTTGCCCAATTTTTGAGTTGGGTTCCTACACTTTACTTACCCTGTTGGGTGGTTTTGCTCCTCCGTTTTGTGTCATATGTTAATATTGTCATATAAGGAGAAAAAGAGACGAACTAGTCAAAAGTAGGTAAAAGTGAACTGATTGTTGGGTACTTTTTTCTACCGTGTAATGAACTGATATAGCCCAGATAGGAGGAAATGTGCTAGAGGATATCATGATCCCAGAAGGGATGAGAACTTTGTCGAGGGTTAGGGTGATAAACTGTCTTAAAGATTTTTCCGGTAATTTTGGCATCAGGGCTGGCAAATGTCATTTTCAATGAAAGATCTCACGTGATATTTACAGAGATACTTCTGTCACTATCATTGGATGAAAAAACGATGATAGAGATTTTCTTCAAAATCTCATCGAATTTTTTGTCATGACATGACTTGTAACGAAGATAACTTGATAATATATTCACTCTACCTGTTTACTTAAATTCATCTAAATCAGTTAGAAATGCTGAGCTCAATACCGCATAAGAATTATTCTCATGAGTGCATGATCATTGAAAAATGACAAGAAGGCTAATGATAGGTAGTTTCGTCTCGTGATAGTGAGAGGACCTGTTTTTTCATCGTCACATGACGGCCGTGATATTTACCAGCTCTGGTTGGGATTGATTGCGGAGTGTTCCTTTGCAAGCGATTGTCCTGATTTTTTCATGCTGGGTGGTCGGAATGATTGTACGCAATCCGACGCGAAATGATGTACATACTTCTTCGGACAGGCATTAGGATGTGCGCTGACAATTCGATTTAGGAGAATCCATGGCGAGACTTGCTGGAGATTCACGGTTGTGGTTTGAATAAATTGGATTGTATTGGGCAAACATCCATAACAAATGTTGACACATGCACACTAGACTGATGCAAAATTTGACTTTTTCGCTCTACAGTGCTCTTAAATGGTTTCAAATCAGATCCTGATTAGCCTCCCAAAGTTACAACTCATTTGGTTAGAAACAGACTTCGCACAAGCCATTTGAAGTTTACATGTAAATTACTATGGGAAATCTCAACTTTTTGTTCATTGCTTTCTAGTCTTTTTCCATATTGAGCTGCGAAACAGTTCTATAACCATTCTTATAGAAAATTTTCTCAGCTACAACTTTGCTGAAGATCGTTTCTATGTAAAACGAGACAGGAAAAAGTTATTAATTATTTAAGAGATTGGTAAACTTATGACATGATCAAGCAGCTGCTCTGTAGGCAACACTGTATTTTGCAGTGTGACATAGTAGCCATGATTTTTGTGTCCTATTCAACGCCCCAGAAACACCAATGTTGCCTGCTGAGCAGTTGATTGAGCATGATCATAAGACATCAGCGCATTGAACCATTGATAATTTTCGATCCTTGCATTTAATCAAAAAGTGGTCTTGGGCAAAGTTGTAGCTGGAAAAATTTCCTACAAGTACAGTTGAAAGCTTTTGAAGCAGACCGATATGGTGAATTATTAGATAGACATGAACAAAAATCTTGGTTTTACCATAATAATTCCCATACAAACTTCAAATGGTTTGTGCCATCTCAGTTTCTCACCAAATGGGTTCAAACTTTGAGAGGTTAGTCAGGATCCGATTTGGAATCGTTTAAGTATTGTGGAGCGAAAATTTCAAATTTTGCATCACTCTAATGCACACTGCGCAGCCGGAGAAAAAGTTCAGTATTACCAGTAACGTTAAAGAACAGAATAATTGTAACCATGGACGCCAAACAGTGCCAATGACTGTGCCCAGGTATGCCCAAGCTAGTTTTTGGCACACTGTGCAGAGTGACCAATCCCTTGGCTATCTTATAGTTACAGATCTTGCTCATATGCTGCTTCGAAATCCTCTTATTTATCGTAAGCAAATGCCATTTTGTTGTATTGATGCTCAACAGCCCATTCGAAGAACGATGATGCATCTGTTATTAATTTGTCACATGGACATTTCCCGTTGGAGCTGCGTGAAAGTTCCATTCAACGTCCATTTCGATTTGAAAAATTGTACTTATTTTTATATTGACATCCTGCTCCGTCAGGGGGGTGTAGGGTCCGCAAGATTAACCTTCATGAAATCAAACAATTCCCTTAAGCAACAGTGTACAAGAACGTAGTTGTGCTCGAGAACGGGTAATATAATTATTAAAGTTTATCATGTAACTACTCATTAACACTTACACAGAGTACAAACAGATGAATGTGGACCATTTTCCTCGCAAAATGATGCGAATGAATCTCGATTTGTATCTAATCTAATCTAATACAAACGCATCCTGGAAAATTATTAGGTTAGATAACGCCTAATCATTTTTCTTGTCAACATTGGTGCTTGCAGCATATCTGAGATGTGTCACAAACATCAAAACGACCAGGCCTACTGCATTGCATATGCCGCAAAGATAATTCTCTGAGATGATTCGAGTTTAAATAAATATATTTAAGGCTCTGAACCATTTGGTGGAACTTTTGGTTAAAATTTTACAGATGCAAAGTTATCGATTAACCCTGCTATCCGAGCGTGATTACTACTGACAGACAAGCAGTTAAATTTTGACAACCTTGGCTAAGTTCTTCTCGGAAACCTGTCGATCGACAGCACAGGGATTTTCGAACATACAAAATAACTTCCGAAATGTCACTTTTAACCACGAGTTAAATTTAACTCAGCCAATGGTTCACAGCCTAAACAGCGATGCATTTCGTGAATCTACAGGGGTGGAAGGATGCGTGGACAATAAACGCTGCGAATTATGTTAGAGTGAATTTAACAATGATATGTGACGTAATGAATGGTTTATATGTATAATTTAGTATAATTGATGGACCTCTCCAAATGTCTCCAATGTTCTCAAAATTCCTAATTCATACACACCAAATTTAAATCGCTGAAAAGTAGCAAAGTTTTGCTGATTTTGGACTTGATGAACGATCATCAAACTTTCCAGCAAAATAATAATACTGAATCTTTCAGCAATTCCCATTTCTGTAAAATGACAACATTTTATTGAAAATCAGTAAAAATTTCAGCAATATATTTTTACTGATTTTTTCAGCAATCCAAAAATCTGACATTTGCGAGGATTTTTCTGCAAATATTAGAAAAGGTTGTTTTCGATTAGCAGCTTGCTTGGTGTGCTCAAATTTTCTTTATTATTTAAAAGTATATAACATACACTTTTCTATGATTAATAAATTTGGTGCTGACAGTTTTCACTTCGATTTAATTGTTATCAAGTCGGAGATTGACCTAGTAAACACATAAGTTCGGCAACTATTAATCTACAGCGATATTCATACAGGAATTACTGGGCAACCTACCAAGTGGAACACCACCGAAGAATTTCAGATGTAAATTCACGGGTCGTCAATGACGGCACCCATTTTTACTTTTGTGCAAAGTTACTTGATTGCTTGCGATGCATTTTGACAGCTCTTGACTGATTTCCAGAAGATCTCAGCAGATCACGCTTGTTTGCTGAAGTTTTCAGTAAAAAAGATAGAGCTAGAATTAGGGCGTAACAGCTTTTGTAAACAATGACTTCTCACGATTATTTCT